AACACGCGAGTCGTTGTAAGAAGGACATCTCGGTCGGCGAATTTGAGCAAAACGGTATACAAGCGGTTTGGGGGAAAAGCGACTGTTACTGTATGGGGACAAACCCTTGTTTCTGTCACTTTCACTAACTTGTCCGTTTAGGGGCTACTGCTTAGTGGCGATTATTGAGTAGATTATTAGGTTAGGATGATGATGTGCTAAGCTGACTGCTGCATTGCCAATATGGCAGTTAGGTCCTTAGTATTGTTTTCGTGATTTGGCTTGTTTCAACAGCTGGTTGAACACCAATGACAAATGTATTAATTTTAGGGCATGCAATGCAGATGAAATACATTTACTACAGAAGGGGAATAAACAGCACCAGCATGAGCAATATACACTGCAGCTAAAAGTTCACATCCCCGAAGTTCCCTCTAGATACGGCACGAGCTCGCTCGTGGTTCTTGGCGCGAACCACAGCCACCCAGGTCACAACTACCAACATAAATACTCCAATAACAACTCCAAGTACTGTAGCTACTATCGCGCCACTGCTTAGCGAGCCACTACTTTCCGACCATGTGTACGACGGCGCAGGCGCAGATCCCAAGTCCTCCGTTTTTTCCGCGGGTAAGGAAGCGGGAGCGGGTGACCAATACTCGCTATTGTCAACTCCGTTACTAGCTGTGTTGCTGCTGTCGGCGGCGAGACCATCTATATCGACATAAGGCGCTGAGCTTGGGGCGGAAGAATCAGGAGTAGAGGGAGGGACAGGGGGGGATACGGACCCTTCCGCAAGATCCGCGAAACTACTGGTAGAATCGAACTTCTGACAGAGAGTTAGGGAGGGGGCGAATGTGAAGAGACATGAAAGAATTAACAGGCTGGAAACTCGCTGGCGAATTGAGTGTCTAAGAGTCTCGTGAAGGGCCCGTATCCGAGTCCTACTACGGGAGCCATAGTTAGGCGTCGGACGATGATAAGAGTTATAATAACCTACAAAACAATGATCCTTTGCCAGGCGCGAGCCTTTTTCTCTGGGAGCCATAGTCGAGGGTGGCCGAGGTCTCCGCGTCATAGAATTGTCTGCGCGTAAATACTCAGTGGCCACGTCATAGTACCAAATCTGGCCCAGAACGTGGGAGCATCCATGGAGGCAAAAATGCAGAAAATGTGGAGGCGTGTGGAGCAGGAGGGCTTCATGAGAACCTGTGGGGGTTGGTTGGTAGGGAATCGCTGGACTCGCTGTTGTGCTTCGCGATAACGAATAGATACACAACATGGGAGTAAAGGCTCTCTAAAAAACATCACATTCAACCTGGTTGCACCCAATGACGTTTCGCTAACGAAACGCTAGCTGTTTTGTTTGGAACATCCCCGTTGAAGAGTGAGCGAAATCGCATGTCAGTGAGGTCGCATCGCTTCAATGTGACATTCGAGCCCCAATCGCACTCTGCCTCAAACGTCCAGGCGACGGCTGCTGGACCTGTTTGCGACCTTCTGGAGCTGTACGATGTAGCTTTACGACTCGTCTAAGTCGTTCTGCGATGCGAAGACCGTCAATTTCTTGGAAATTGTCGTCGCGGATAATCGTTGGGGCAAGGTCTGCCTGGGAGCTGGTCAACAGACAGCTGGGTAAGAAGGTGGCGAACCGCGTCTCCAGACCAAAGTGGCGCAATGTCTCAAGGAATTGCGCGCGCCATGTGCTTGGGGAAATATTGCCGACCAATGCCGCAAAAATTGGAAAATGTCGCGCTTCGAGCCCAACGTACCAGCTGCGTGAGGGGAGCATGAGCTCAAATTTGGAATGCAGTCGGTACTTTCTGTGTCACCCGTTCCACTTGTGTCTACAAACAGCCTCGATCGAATCCGCAAGGTATCATCGAGCCTCGCGCGCGAAATTGAGGCGCGCAGTCCCCCATGTCTATTCTCTCGAATATACCCAAGCATGGCGTGTCGAACACTGGCTGATCGCCGTCTATATTCGCCAAGAGCTCACAACAGTATTCGTTGTTGAATTCTGGCTAGTCTGGAAGTGAACCTCCCCACGAACGGCAAGACAGGTTTTGAATGCGCTAGCACTTCCCTGTAGCCTCAAGCCTTCTTCAAACCTAAGCACAGATTCCTTCGCTCCCCAGTGCTTCAGGAAAACAGAAAACTGTCGTCAGAGTTCTACCCTAAGTCTACTGCATCTCCAGCATGGCAAGAAGCACCGGGGCGGCTCCTAATAAGCGGAGACTCCCTCCACTGTCCTTGCTGTTCATAGTGTCCGCGTTATTGAGTGCCTCCTTCCGCGCCGCCCACGCGCGCGCGTTGCATCGCGACAGCATCCGCCCGGCATCAACAGCGGGCGCAGCGGGGCGATACTCGCTCGACGAAATCACCATCCACGCGCGTATGCGGCGCGAGCGGCGAAACCGGAGCGTCCGGCTGTTCTCCGTGGACGAATCCGCGTCACTCTCCCCGCCGCCGTCGCTACAGCCGGCCGGCGAGTTGTTCGACATCTGTAGCGTCCCCGGGCCGATCAGCTTGAATATCACTCCCTCCTTCATCGGGACAACGTGGAAGGGATGGGGCACGTCTCTGGCTTGGTGAGTCCATTTTCATTTTACTCACCATCGCCTTCCCCGCTCTATCCATTGCCGCTTTTGGCCATCCCCCCTCTCTTTCTCCCTTTCAACCCCCTCTCTTCTTTTCTCTGTCCCCCATTCCTTTGTCTGTAAATCACTACCGTATTGCTCACCCATCCCCCTCATTACCCTCCCAGACCCCGACTCTCATTTTAAGAAATGCCACATTGCTCACATTTCCCCCTGAATTCCAAATCCTCCCTTCTTCCGCCAGGCAAGGAAACTACATCGGAGGCTTCCCCAAGGATCGCATGGACACACTGCTCGACCTAGTCTTCCACCCCACGAAAGGGCTCGGTCTGAACATCGTCCGGTACAACATAGGCGGAGGTCACAACGACACGTTAAGTCCGCAGTTCTCTAAAGATGTGGAGACAAGCTGGAAGGCCATGCCCGGAAATTGGCCGGCGGAGTCTGGGCCGTACGATTGGGACGCGGATCAACGGCAGAGGAATGTTCTGTTTGGCGCTAGGGAGCGCGGCGCGAATATTTTCGAGGCGTTTTCAAACAGCCCGCCGTGGTGGATGACTGTGTCGGGTGACGTGGCAGGCGCGTCGGAGAAGAACCAGCCGAACCTGCAGCCGCAGTACGAAGGGAAATTTGTGGATTACCTCACTACAGTGGTGGAGAAGTTCGCAAAAGACCCGGCTTGGAATCTGACGTTTGATACCCTGGAGCCTTTTAACGAGCCGCTGGAAAATTTCTGGAACGCGGGGAACGGGCAGGAGGGGTGTAATTTCGACGTCCCCGCTATAACCCGTGTGCTGTGGGCTACTATAGACGCTTTGAAGAAGAAAGGGCTCCAGACGAAAGTCGCTGCGTTTGATAGCTGGACGGAGGACACGGTTTCGGCGATCGACTCCATAGCGAGGATAAATGAAGTGAAGCGGATCAACGTTCATGGGTACATGGACCCGGCCCCGAGTAATCAGGATCCGGTCAGCTACACCACCCAGACGTACAGTAAAATGCGCGATATGGCGAAGGGGATGGGAAAGGAGGTTTGGGTAAGCGAATCTGGACCAATGGGGCGATTCGGACAACCATTCGACCTGTCACTGTACATGGCGCGGAACGTGATCGAGACCGTCAATATACTGCAAGCATCTGCGTACGTGTACTGGCTGACGTACGATTCTGATCCTCGCTGGGCAATGATCCACTTCCCGTGGAATTACCCTGCCGGGTATACAGGTGCAGTAAAGAACCCGAAGCGGTCTAAGCGATGGTATATATTCAAGATGCTGACGAGTCTCGCGAAGCCGGGAAGCCAGCCGCTTACAATCCCCGCGGAGTGCTCTCACGGCATCGCTGGGTTTTTCAACGAGGCGGACTCTGTAGTGAGTCTGTTTATAGTGAATCAAAAGGCGGAGCCGAAACAGGTATCGGTGAATCTGCAGGGGTTCCGGATAAACTCGAGGGGGATCACGAAGGCGATTGTTCGGCGGACGTCGTGGGTGTATAACATGGTGCAAAGCGAGGTGATCACAGGCGGTACAGCGAGCATCACTATAGAGGGGCAAAGCTTTGTCTCCGTACATTTCACCAACGTTAGGAGAATATGACTTGGCTTGGTAGGTAGGTGTGGTTTAGGCTAAAGGATTTGGTTGTCCCTTCCTCAGAGACAGACCATACGTGATAGGAAGGCGTGGTGTAGGATAAGCGCTGAGCTGATTGTCCCTTTCTCAGAGACATACCATACTTGACTATTAGACAAGACATATGTTGGTGCTCGGGAGTCAGGACAATAGCCCCCGCTACTACTTCTGCACAACATGAGTGAATGTTACAGATAAGAAAGACTGACCTTCCACATCAATCACTACTCTCGGTTTAGAAGCTATTTTTGCAGAACTGACTACAATATCATCTGCCCACGTGGTCCTGCGAAGAACTGCCTCTGTTTGTCCCCCCACATTCAGCTTGAACCCAGTCAGCCTCACATCAAACATAGCATCCTCTGCCCTCTGAATCACTATAAACACACTCACTGTCCGTTTCTCCGTACTGTAGAAAGCAGCTACAGTGTGTTGGCACTTCCGCGGCACCACCAATGGCAGGCTCCCAGGCCTCACCAAAACTGTGAACTGCTTTAGCATCCAAAACCGTTTTTGCAACACAGGAGATTCAAACGGTCCCATGTAACCAGGAGGGTGGTCCCAGTTTATCCTGATCACTGACCACTTGTCACTGCTGTCGTATATTTGCCAATAATTATAGGCAGAAGCTTCCAGGATGTTGACTGATTCAACGATGTTCCGCATCATGTAAAGCGAAAGGTCGTAGGCACTACCATCCCTGAGTAACGGACCTGACTCAGACACCCATACTTCCTTCTGGAGAGATTTGGCAAGCCGCTTCATCTGGGTGTAACGCGCAGTTGTCAACAACTTAGCCTGTGCAGTTGTCACGTTCAGGTACATGTGTAACGGCAGAGGGTAACCGTGCACGTTGATCCTGTGCAGGAGGGTATTCCCAAGGACCAGTGGTAACCCTATGCTGGTTAAAACCGCGTTGCTGTCAACCCCAACCAGCTTCGTCTTAAGCTTCCTTTTCCGCAGAGCCAGCCAAGTCTTGAGAAGAACTCGGTTCATCTCAGGTGGGTTGAAGTTGCATCCTTCCTGCTCCATCCCGGCCACCCATTGTCCCTCCAGCCCTTCATTAAACGGCTCTAGCGTATCGAATTCGATGTTCCCCAGCGCCGGGTTCTTTGCAAACCCTTCCACGACTTTTACGAGGTATTTGGCAAACTTCCCCTCGAACCTTCGTAGCAGGTTCGTCCTCCACGCCTTCTTTGCCCCTGAGACGTCTTTACTCGCGGTCATCCACCAGGGCGGGCTGTTGGAAAACGCCTCGAACACGTTCACCCCGCGGGCCTTGGCTCCCAGCAGCACCGCCTGCTGCCTCGAATCCGCCGTCCAGTTGAACCCCGCTGCCTGCGCCGGCCAGTACCCCGGCATGGCCCGCCAGCGCATGGAAGAATCAGTGTATAGCTGAGGGCTGTATTGAGGGAGGGAGCCGCCGCCTATATTGAATCGCACTATATTGAGGTTGAGGCCCGAGGGGAGGAACATGAGGTCCAGCAGAGGGTCCATCGCCGCCCGGGGGAACCCGCCGATGTAGTTGCCCAGCCTTGGGGGTTGGGCGGAGGGATTTTGGGGAGGGGAAGGAAAAAGGATGAATGGGGGAACCCCCTGATGTAGTTGCCCAGCCTGGGGGGGAGGGGGGAGGGAATGTGGGGAGGGAATGGGGGGAGGGGAAGGAGACGTGGTGAATGGGGGAACCCGCCGATGTAGTTGCCCAGCCTGGGGGTGGGCGGAGGGAATGTGGGGAGAAAGTGGGGGGAGGGGAAGGGGACATGGTGAATTGGGGAACCCGCCGATGTAGTTGCCAGCCTGTGGGTGAAAGTAGGGGAAGGGCAAGGTAGGCGGAAGGGGGAGGTGGGAGAAAGGGAGATGTGGGAAGAAGGGAGAGGTGGAGTTAAGGGAATTTTAGGGAAAGGGAGAAGGTGAGTGGGGAGGAGAAAGCGTGTGACTGGGAGTCTCATCCTCTGGAACAAAATATAGAAAACCACACATTGTCATTACAATCACCTCACCATCCCAATGATGTTCCCCATCCCTTCCACTTCGTTCCGATCTGCCGTGGAGTGATTGTCACGCTGAACGGTCCCTTACCACCCGAGCACACTTCAAACCGCTCCCATGCCGGCTCTAGGGTTGGGGCTGGTGGTCTGATTTTAGTTCCTGCATCCCTTGATGACGTATTTACATATGCGTTATCATCCCCAGCTATGTGATACCGCGTCACATTCCCGGGTTCGGGTCCAGGTGCAGAGGTAGGGGGAGGTGACTGTACGGGAGGTGAGCATACAGAAGGCGTGACTGCATCGGGAATGTTAGAATAGTTTGAGAGGGATAACCGTCGGAAAGACGCTACCGTTTGGCCGTCAGCGACTGTAATTCCTATTACCAGCAAAACCAGGAGGGGTTTGAAAGCTGTGTTGAGAGCTGTAATTCGTATAGGCGGGGATGTTACCGTTCCTGAATGAAAGTGACGTAAGGAATTAGTGGGCATTGTCAGCGTTACACTGATTAGAAGATATAAAACACAAGAATGGAAAATAACTTATGATAGATTGAAGCAGTGCATCGCGGAGAGAATCACGGCTGAACGACATGAAGATTTAGTCCGACTAAATCTGACGAGTCGTCAGTCGGGCTGGTTCGACATCAGATCACCGTCGCGAATTTCTGGGCTTGAAGTTTAGCTTGTGACAGGCCGAGTCAGGGAAAATGCCATTGGAGCGGTAATAAGATATGTTTCCACGGAGGTACACAGACGGACTGAGTTGGTCCGAAGCACGACGGTCTAAGGTGCCTACTATCTACGTCGCGAGGCGTGATGTAGACTCGTCAGGATGAGCCCAGGTGGGCTTCGGGTTGATGTCACCGCATTGCTGCGATGTAACTCACCCACTTAAAAACCTGAACTGGGGTGAACTGCACCTTTGTACTCGGTTTTTGGCGACATAAGGAGCAGAATGCGGATAACTGACTAGGAACTGCCGCGTCAGATGAACGATTTGAGGTGCGGTGTACTTTTGAGACATCTTAGTAAACGACTGATTGGGAAAGATTACCCTGACGATGCCCCACTTTGGTCCTAACTTAGGGGAGTGTTACCAGGGCTAGGGCAGAACCCGAAGCGGCTTTGGGAATGCCAAGAAGATATGATGGGGGGAAGCGAAGCGAGGCGGGGGGAGCCCAATGTTCCCCAGCAGACTGCACATTTGGGGTCTTCCATCGAATGTGAACCTCAGTTGACCGTTCGATGAAACAAGCGACAATAATCTGACGGCTGAGTGCTTGCCGAGTTTGCTGGAAGGATGGTAACCACACCCCTAAAAAATCTATCACGCTTGACGAAAGGTGTTCCACCGATTTTGGCTTGCCACTCCATTTCGCGAAGCGGTTTCACCTCAGACACACAGGGTTCGACTGCGTAGGTCGGTGGTAACGCGGTGATTGACCACCCACTAACCCACCGCCGCTGACAAGTTGAACTTGAAACTAGTGAGTTTGTGGCTCTTATGATTGTTCCCCTCGGATTATTCTGCATTGCCATAACCAGAGAAAGTTTGGGACAGATCAGAGTGACCGGAAAGTCTCTAAAAAATCTCAACAGAGAAGACTGCAGGTACAGGGCTGAACGAAAAAGGCTGCAGCGTTCTAGTCTGAAAAGGAGAAACTAGAAACTCGAGTACAGGTTCCGGACAAGGAAAAACGATGCTAGTGTGCTGGTATATTAAACCTTCAGTAGTAGGTTCAGTCATGAGTCAACACCAGCAAAAAGCGGTAGTCGTGCGTCGCTCTCCCCGCAGCGACGAAATACCGTATTTATTAGTACTAACATATAGCTACTATGAGCAGTGATGCTGCTTTTAAACGTGCAAGTCCTGCAGCTGTTGATCCTGCTGTCCGCCATTTCCCACACTGTCAGATCTTCTGCCAGTCACAGCAGCAACAGACCGAGTTCATCTAATACTGTCCTCATTACCGAGTTCAGCTCGATACCTCTTACAGCACATTCGCCTCCCATACAGTCACCTCCTTCACAGTCGCTTCCCGTGCAGCCACTCCTACAGTCACCTCAAGTCCAGTCACTCTCCTCATCTCGTGTACAGTCACCTTTCCCTGATGCAGCGAACACACCCATTCCCGACCCTTCATCACCTGCATCCGAACCTGGTCCCGAGCCTGCATCTGGGCCTATACCTCCTGCTTCCCAAGATGCCACCGCATTAGATGACTCCACGTATTTAAACGTCTCCCGTTCCGCATCGCCAGGCGCGAGTACTAAGAGTAGGCCGCCAGCTCCGACACTCCGACCACCGTGGGAGCGGTTCGGAGTGTGCTCGGGCGGTAAGGGACCGTTTCGCGTGACGATCACTCCACATCAGATCGGAACTAAGTGGAAAGGATGGGGCACGTCGCTCGCATGGTAAGGAGATCTCAATGCGAGAACATGGGTTGGCGAACGAAGACGAACAGTTGATGCAAGAGCGTGATATTCTGGATCCTGAATCACTTTATCCACCCTTTCCCTTTTCCCCTCCACCCACCAACCTCCCCCTCAACCCCCCCCCACCCCACCCCCACCCCACCCCCCACTTTCCCGCCCCCCACCTCTACCCCCAGGCTGGGCAACTACATCGGCGGGTTCCCCCATTCACCACGTCTCCTTCCCCTCCCCCCATTCCCTCCCCACATTCCCTCCCCCCAACCCCCCAGGCTGGGCAACTACATCGGGGGGTTCCCCCATTCAACCTTTTTCCTTCCCCTCCCCAAAATCCCTCCGCCCAACCCCCCAGGCTGGGCAACTACATCGGGGGGTTCCCCCAGGCGGCGATGGGCCCTCTGCTGGACCTCATGTTCCTCCCCTCGGGCCTCAACCTCAATATAGTGCGATTCAATATAGGCGGCGGCTCCGTTCCACAGTACAGCCCTCAACTGTATGAAGATTCCTTAATGCCGGCGCAGGCAGCGGGGTTCAACTGGACGGCGGATTCGAGGCAGCAGGCGGTGCTGCTGGGAGCCAAGGCCCGCGGGGTGAGCGTGTTCGAGGCGTTTTCCAACAGCCCGCCCTGGTGGATGACCGCGAGTAAAGACGTCTCAGGGGCAAAGAAGAAGTGGAGGACGAACCTGCTGCGAAGTTTCGAGGGGAAGTTTGCCTATTACCTCGTAAATGTCGTGGAAGGGTTTGCGAAAAACCCGGCGCTGGGGAACAACGAATTCGATACGCTAGAGCCGTTTAATGAAGGGCTGGAGGGACAATGGGTGGCCGGGATGGAGCAGGAAGGATGCAACTTCAATCCACCTGAGATGAACCGAGTACTTCTCAAGACTTGGCTGGCTCTGCGGAAAAGGAAGCTCAAGACAAAGCTGGTTGGGGTCGACAGCAACGCGGCTCTGACCAGCTTAGGGTTGCCATTGGTCCTTAGGAAAACCCTCCTGCACAGGATCAACGTGCACGGTTACACTCTCCCGTCAGAAAAGCACGTGAACCTGACAACGGCACAGGCTATATCGTTAACAACTGTGATTAACACCCAGATGAAGAGACTGGCCAGATCTCTCGGGAAGGAAGTCTGGGTGTCCGAGTCAGGCCCGCTATTTAAGCAGGGTAATGACTACGACCTTTCGCTCTACATGATGCGAAACATCATCGAATCGGTCAACATTCTGGAAGCTTCCGCCTTTGTCTACTGGCAAATATATGGTGGGAGTGACAAGTGGTCGGTGATCAGGATCAACTGGGAGCACCCTCCTGGTTACACGGGCCCATTTGACCCTCTTTTGCTGCTGAAGCGGTTCTGGATGCTCAAGCAATTTACAGATCTGGTGAGGCCCGGGAGTCGGCCATTGGTGGTGCCAAGTAAGTGCCAACACACTGTAGCTGCTTTTTACAGCAAGGAGAAACGGACAGTGAGTGTGTTGATAGTGATTCAAAGGGCAGAGGATGCTAGGTTTGTTGTGAGGCTCTCTGGGTTCAAGTTGAATGCGGGGGGGCAATCGAAGGCAATTATTCGCAGGACCACCTGGGGAGATGATAATGTAGTCACTACAACGAAGCTCTCATCAAAAGCTGGGGTTGATCTTGTAGTAGAAGGCCAATCTTTCTTATCTGTAACGTTCACCCATGTTCAAATGAAGAGATTGCAAGACAGGATGTTTGTACATGGTTGCTTTCAGTGGAGGATGACGGTGACGACCCAGCTTTGTCGTCTGTATCATAACGGATAACGTCACACTGACGGTAGATGGACGCTTGGACGCCTAGTGACAAGCCAGCTGAGTCAGGTTTGTCGGCGACAGCATCATACTGTACCGTGGTGGTGGCGATTCGGGTTTTGTCCAGTCTGCAATCTACCGAACCATCACGGTCTGTCAACACACGTTTCTGAACCGAAGTCGAACGAACTCCTTTGCCAACGTGGATGTGTATATTGTGTAACTCACGTTCGCGAGGGTCCTCGCGGTCCACTGCAGGAAGGCACGCCATTTGACTGCTGCTGGTGACGGCTAGCAGTGTGACTTGACACGTTCACCTTCGTGGTGTTGGGGTGACAGTCCCACCGACTTCTAAATTCCAGCCCAGAGACCTTCGGTTCCGTACCAACTTTCGAGCCAAAGGATACAGACCAAGGCGCTTGATATGAGGGGAACAAAGCTTCGCAGGGCTAGTTTGGGACCGCGAAAGCGTACTTCACCAGAATTTGGGATGCAACGAGACAGAAGATCTCGAATGACCGTCCATCGAACCGTCGATCTAGGTTTACTGAAGACAGGTTCGGCTCTTCGGCCAATCACCCAGCCATCATGGTTCCAAACCAGCCTCATCGCGCCTCGCCTCGAAATGCCCGTTTCTTCCTCTTCCTGTGACATTGCCGTGCGCGGGTGTGTCAAGTCCGCTCCCCACAACCTCCTCAAGAGGGGTGTGTATTCCTCGTTCCCCCTCCTGGCCTCAAATGGGGGAAAATATTCCCCTCCACCACATTTCCGCCGTCGGTGGGATTTTCCAGCGCGCCACATACGCGCATTGCACAAACGACTTCAACGGGGGAACGGTGCGCGGCCAACATGGGTTCCCCGCACCTCGTTTCGCTAGCTGCCCCCCATTATCGCTGCTCGACATTCCGTCAGCACCTCCGCGTCCTCCCCTCGACTCCTATGTCCCGCTGCTGCTGGACGGGGGCTGTGGACCAGGGCTAAAGTTAGGCTTTTCGCCAGGGTGGACAATCCCGATTCCCAAGGTCCGTTCCTCGGCTGAAGCGAGCATGGTCAACAATCAACCGACAAACCAGTACCTCGGCTGATTCATAATCCGCTACCAAATCCTCTTTGCCACATTGTTTGCCCCGGCGAGTTGGTTCGAAGCAACGCACAGCATTCAGCGCGTGGTGTCTCAGTCGCACCTCGCGACGATTAACATTTATCCATACTGCTTCAACCTGACTACATCCGTCCGTGCATCCCGCTCCCGTTACCTCTCCAAAGAAAATGCTGCTGGCCCGACTCTAGACCTTACCTAATTACGTCGTCCAGCGCGTGACCCGCGATTCTCTGCGATCTCTGCGAAAAGGGTGACTGGTTTTCGTCACGGCGTCGTTGACAATGCCCTCTAGTTTTTCCCGTCACCTTCATCCTCGAATAGTAACTTCCCCGTCAAGATCGTGCCAGGCAGCCATCTTACTGCTACTGCTCTTAATAGGAGCTTCAGCTACAGTCGCTGAAGGGTCGTCGATAATCGACCAAGTCGTCGCGTTTTTTCAGCGCCTACTCCCCTCGAACCAGGCAAACGCACAGGTCGCAGCCATACCTCCCGTACAGTCACCTCCTATACAGTCACCTCCTCCACAGTCACCTCCGGTACAGTCACCTCCCGTACAATCACCCCCTGTACAGTCACCTACCCCTGCCCCTTCACCTGAGCCCGAACCATGGAACTTCACGCGATACCCAATTGCGTGGCACGGCACTTCGTTAGTGAATACGTCAGCATCGGCGGCAGGAACGAAGGCCAAACCGCCAGCGCCGACGCTCGAGCCGGCATGGGAGCGGTTCGGAGTGTGCTCGGGCGGTAAGGGACCGTTCCACGTGACGATCACTCCACGGCAGATCGGGACCAAGTGGAAGGGATGGGGCACATCGATCGCATGGTGAGTTGATTGTACCAAGAATACGTGGTTCTATTGAATCGCCCTAGCGTATCTGACTCCCGACCACACGCTTCTTTTGAACTTCTCCTCTCTCACCGCACCCCGCCTTCTCCCCATCTACTCCTTGCCCCACATCCCGCTTCCCCCCACCTCCCCATTCCCCCCACCTTCCCCTTCCGCTCCTTCCGCCCACCCCCAGGCTGGGCAACTTCATCGGCGGGTTCCCCCATTCATCCTTTTTCCTTCCCCTCCCCAAAATCCCCCCTCCCACCCCCAGGCTGGGCAACTACATCGGCGGGTTCCCCCAGGCGGCGATGGACCCTCTGCTGGACCTCATGTTCCTCCCCTCGGGCCTCAACCTCAATATAGTGCGATTCAATATAGGCGGCGGCTCGCTCCCGCAGTACAGCCCGCAGCTCCACTCGGACGCGCTGCTGCGCTGGCGAGCCATGCCGGGGTACTGGCCGGCGCAGGCAGCGGGGTTCAACTGGACGGCGGATTCAAGGCAGCAGGCGGTGCTGCTGGGAGCCAAGGCCCGCGGAGTGAACGTGTTCGAGGCGTTTTCCAACAGCCCGCCCTGGTGGATGACCGCGAGTAAAGACGTTGCGGGCGGGAAGAAGGCGTTTCAGACGAATCTGCTGCCGAAATTCGAGGGACGGTTTGCAAAGTATTTGGTGGAGGTGGTGGAAAGGTTTAAAACGGATCCAGCGTTGGGGAATATCGAGTTTGATACACTGGAGCCGTTTAACGAGGCGTTAGAGGGGCACTGGCTAAAGGGGATGGGGCAGGAGGGGTGTAATTTCAACGTGTTCGAAATGAGCCGGATCATTTTCAAAACTCTGCGACTGCTGCGGGAGAAAAAGCTCAAGACGAAACTCGCCGGTGTGGACAGTTTTCCGGGCATGACGGCTCTCTTGTTCCCACTGCTCGTGGGAAATTTTTTTTTCCACCGGGTAAACGTTCACGGGTACACGCTGCCGGTTCAGCAGGTGGTGAACATGACTGCTTCTGTCGCCGAGAAGACCTACGCCGCTCGCTACGTCGCGATGAAGGTGCTTGCGAAATCGCTCGGGAAGGAGATATGGGTGTCGGAATCTGGGCCGTTGAACAAGTTTGGCAACGCGTACGATCTCTCGCTCTACATGATGCGGAACGTGATAGAGACGGTGAACATTCTCGGGATCTCCGCGTATGTCTACTGGCAGATTTTCGATCCAAACGACACATGGTCACTGATCGGTCTGAATTGGTATTATCCGCCAGGATATACAGGTACAGTAGACCCGCCCACCATGCTTAAAAGGTACTGGATGTTTAAGCAGTTTACGGATCTGGTAAGGCCAGGGAGCCGGCCGTTAATGGTGCCGATAGCGTGTCGGCACACGGTAGCTGCGTTCTACAGTAAGGAGAAGCGGACGGTGAGTGTGTTTATAGTGAATCAGCGGGTGATGGATAAGGTGGTGAATGTGAGGTTATCAAGGTACAAGCTGAATGTGGGGGGAACGACTCAGGCTCTAATCAGGAGAACTACATATGCAGAGGACAATGCAGAAAGCACTGTGGCTATACAGGGTAAGCCCAAGGTGCCAGTTCTGGTTGAGGGCCAGACCTTCGTTTCAGTAACATTCACCAATGTACAGCGGACAAGATGGATGTTTTGACTTGTACCACGATTGTATTACAAGAGTTCAGCTCGCTCGCTCACACTAGAATTGCTAGATATGGTATGGCTTGTTTGTGCCACACAGCTGCGTGGTGTACAATGGTGGATGTGCATCATATCAAACACGTCTCGACTCTCAAGCCCCCTCATTATCCCTGCGGGCCTGCTCTGCGGCCCTGGCCCCCTCTAACCCACACAATCAGTGCTGGCTTCAAATGCTACTGCTCTCCCATGCTGCATGGTGTATTCGCAAACTGAAGAATCACACACGGCTACTTGTTTGTCCCAGATTAGATTCCTAGCGCCATTTCATAAGAGACGTTGACTAACACGTTCACACTATGATTGTGATTCTGCAAGTCTTGCATGTTTCCCTGAAGTGATGACATGCGGTGCCCTATCAGTTGCATCCGTACCATCCATGCCACCCATGCCATCAGTGGCATCATTATATGGAATGGATGGATGGGTAACAGGCTACCCAGTGGTATCAGAGCCATCAGTGCCATCAGTGGAAGCAGTGGCATCAGCGGCATCACCAGTAGATGTTGACCTCCTTGCCGTCATTCATCTCACTCACCAGGTCCTTGGCCTCGCTCAGAGCAACCTGGGGGACATACGGACACGGCAAAGCATACCCAGAGCGGAATGGGAAGGAGAGACTGAGCCACTGGTAAAAACTGCCCGCCTTGCTCACTCACCACCAGGTCCTTGGCCTCGCTCAAAGCAACCTGTGGGAAAGAGGGACAGAGGGGAATGGGGTTGATTTTGAGAATTCTAAAAATCAACCTCACCAGGTCCTTGGCCTCGCTCAGAACAACCTGGGGGAGAAGCACAGAGGGAATGGGAAGAGGAAGTGAGTGGGTGGATAGCAGCAGCCCTGCAAGTGCCATCACCATTAGATGTTAACCTTCCGTCATTCATCCCACGCACCAGGTTCCCCCAATGGATGGACGGGCAGGGCAGTTGCCAGACCAGAGGAATAATAATGATAACATAAATAATAATGGAAACAACAACAATAATAATAATTATCACAATAGATGTAACGATAATATGCATAATGGTAATCATTATAAGATTACTAAAGAAAAAAAAGGTTGAAAGACTTTACCTGGCCGTATTTGGTGATGTAGTTGCTGGAGAGGTGAAGTGTCTCGACTGCCGCCTCCCCATTTGCTTTGAGCGCCTCTGCCAGGGCGTATGCCCACACACAACCCTAAACCCTTCAAGTTTACTAGAAGAAACATCAAACCCACACACATCCCACCTGGCCGTATTTGGTGATGTAGTTGCTAGAAAGGTTGAGAGTCTCGACTGCCGCCTCCCCATTCGCCTTGAGCGCCTCTGCCAGGGCGTATGCCCCGCGGTCGCGGATCTCATTAAAGCCCAGGTCCAACGAGGAGAGCTGCTCGTTCACCACGCGGAGACTTAAAGCCAAAATGGCCGCCCCCTGTTGGGACAGAGAGGGCAAGGGAACGGGAGTCATGGAAACGAGGTTGAACGTTCAGAGGAGAGGGGGGCGATCCCTGTTTGAAGTGAGCTGCTCAATGGTGACCCGCAGAGCAGACTCAGAGCCAAGATGACTTTTGAGTCGACTCAAAAGGGGCGCTCCCTGTTTGAAGTGAGCTGCGCTGCTCATTGGTCACCCGCAGACTCAGAGCCAAGATGTTGAAAAGGGGTGAGGGAGGGGTGAGGGAGAGTTTTGAGACGTCTCAAAACACTACTTCAAATCAAACACGAGGGAGAGAGATTCAGATCGACTGTGTTGTGCTCAGTAGTGCTGTTGTAATTGATTGAGAGTGCACCTGCCTGCTCACATCACACTACCCCCATTGACTTTTGAGTCGACTCAAAAATCACCTCTAGATTCAGATCGACTGTGTTGTGCTCAGTAGTGCTGTTGTAATTGATTGAGAGTGCACCTGCCTGCTCACATTACCCCCATTGGTACATGACCTGTCATCATCGCAGCTCACCTCATCACCCAGCGCGTTGGCCCAATGGAGCCCCAGATAGGAGCCATGTCTTTACGTGGCAGCGACAGATTCAACTGTAAATATTGTTGTTAGTAAAAAATTTGCTTTGGAATCTCTTGTACAAAATTTCGGCGGTCATTGAGTCGACTCAAAAGTCAACTAATCGAGAGTGCACCTGCCTGCTCACTCACATTACCCCCCATTGGTACATGATCTGTCGTCATTGCAGCTTACCTCATCACCCAGAGCGTTGGCCCTGAGGTCAAGCGTGTTGATAGTGCTGTTGTATTTTATTGACAGTGCGCGTGCTTGCTCAGTACCCCCCTTGGCTGCTGCCTGAACTGAACTGCCATCATCCCTCCGAGCTCACCTCATCACCCAGAGCGTTGGCCCTTAGGTCGAGAGTGTTGATGGTGCTGTTGTACTTGAGCGCATCCGCCATGTACTCTGCTCCCTTCACTCCTATCTGAGGGTGATGAGGGAAAAGAAAAGAACAGCAGGATGGAAGCAGGGGGATGAGAGCAGGGGAGCAGGGGGGTGGTGCTGTTGTACTAGAGAGCATAGGCCATGTACTCTGCTCCCTTCACTCCGATCTGAAGGTGATATGAGCGGAGGAAGGGGGAAGGGGGGGAGGGGGGTGGGGGGTTTGGGGGAGGGGGTCGGAAGGGAGGCAGGAAGGAGGGATGGGTGTGTGGGCTGAGCATCAGAAACAAACAGATGAGAGCAGGAGTGCGGGCACTGTTCTATAAGAGCGCATCTGGCATGTAATCTGCGCCTTTACTCTGATTTCGGACCACTCTCACCACCCTCACCTTGCATCACCCCAGTCAAAGTGACTACACATTCACATTCCCGTCAAACTTGAGCGTGTCTGCCAGAGCCTTGACCAGGGTTACCGTGCACAACACAATTTTCCTCACTCTTCCCTCACTCTCACTCTCCCTCTCACTCTCCCTCTACCTGCCTGGGCACACAGACACACCAAACATATCCCACATACTGCTTCTCAGCATCACAACCCCCATGACCACCCTCACCTGACTGACACCACCCCAGTCGCAGCGTCTCCACATTCCCATGGAACTTCACAGTGTCTGCCAGTCAGTGCCTGGACTCGGGTGCACGCAAAGCACATCTCCCACTCCCATGCTTCAACCCTCTGAAATCAAATCACTCCCCCCATAAGCACCCTCACCTCGCACCACCCCAGTCGCAGCGTGAAGTGAGGGTGTTTTTGAGACGTCTCAAAAACACTCCCATGCTTCAACCCTCTGAAATCAAATCACTCCCCCCATAAGCACCCTCACCTTGAACCACCCCAGTCGCAGTGTCTCCACATTCCCATGGAACTTAACCGTGTATACCAGTCAGTGCCTTGGCTCGAGTGCACATACCAGGCACATATCCCACCCTTCACCCCTCGGCATCATAACTGCACACTATTCTCACCTTGAACCACCCCAGTCGCAGTGTCTCCACGTTCCCATGGAACTTGACCGTGTCTGCCAGTCAGTGCCTTGACTCGAGTGCACACAGCAAGCATACATCCCACCCTTCACCCCTTGGCATCACAGCCCCATCCCTCCCCTTACCTTGCGCCATTCATTCTCACCTTGCACCACCCCAGTCGCAGCGTCTCCACGTTCCCATGGAACTTGACCGTGTCTGCCAGTGCCTTGGCACCCTCTGGACCGATGGGGTTGTAGCCCAACTCAAGCTGCAAGAGGAGTGAAAGGCAGGCACCAAACGGGACGTGATGAAGAGGGGGTGGGATGGGAAGGAGGGAACCTAACCGTGTCTGCCAGCGCCTTGGCGCCCTCTGGACCAATGGGGTTGTAGCCCAACTCAAGCTGTGGCAGAACGGGAGCAAGGGACAGGACAGATAAGGCAATGGATTCTTGACGAATTTTATCAACATTTAAGCTGGGGAGGAGTGAGAAACGGAGTGAGGAAAGGAGTGACAGCACAAGTAAGGTCAGACTTACTTAATCAACGAATTACTCATCCCCTAGAGCAAATCAGTGACTCTTCCATCCCCCTTTTTATCTGAAGTGGTGTTTACTCACAGTGGTGATGGTGGAGTTCTCTTTGAGTGCGTCACAGATGGCAGCAATGCCCTCTGCATGAATGTTGTTGCCTCCCTGGAGTAAGGAGGGAAACGGGAGGGAGCATAGGTGGGCAGGGAGAGGGGAAAAGAGAAGTTGTGGCAGATGATTGAGTGCGTCACAGATGGCCGCAATGCCCTCTGCATGAATGTTGTTGCCTCCCTGGAGGGAAGGAAGGGAGGTAGGTAGGAAGCGAGGGACGGAAGCATTGGCTTCAGTAGCTGCAATAAAAGTGGACCACGCGAACAACATGCACAGCACACACACATGCATGTACAGTCATTCGCTCACTCACTCACTCACACTCACTCACTCACAATCTCACTCATTCACACACTCAGCTCATTCACTCACTCACTCACTCAACTCACACTCACTCACACTCACTCACTCACACACACACTCACACACTCACTCACTCACTCACTCACTCACTCACACTCACCAGGTCAATAGTAGCGATCGACTTGTTCCTCTTGAGAGCATCTGCTATTCTCTCCGCTCCCTGCAACAACGGCAGTAATAAGACAGGAGCCACGATGTATGAAAAATATGCTCCAATTGAACAAGAGCCAGGAATAAGTTATCTCAGACGCAGGCCACTCCCAAACGTGTATGAAGATTGGTTTTGAGAGCGGCCTGCGTCTGAGATCAGCATATGAACGCATATGAGAGGCCGATCAGCGTCTGCGTCTCAAAACCAATCTTCATACGCGTGGCTATCTCAGACGCAGGCCACTCCCAAACGGTGCAACAGATCAGCATATCAACGTCCAAGCGAGGTGAGGAGCAGATCGTCAGTTGACTGAGCAGTCAACACACCTCGTCAGTTGACTGAGCAGTCAACACACCTCGTCAGTTGACTGAGCAGTCAACACACCTCGTCAGTTGACTGAGCAGTCAACACACCTCGTTTCATCTACCCACCATAACCACAACAGCCCACCTTGTCCCCGAAGTCGTTCATATAGAGGTTCAGCCACTGCGGGCTGCGACTCTTCTTGATCACCTCAGCAATGTGCGCCGCGCCCTTAGAGCCCATGCTGTTGTTGCTGCCTTACCAACTTCCGCCCATCAACCTCCACCCACCCACCTTATTCCCCCACCACCCACCTTATCCCCAAAGTCGTTCATATAGAGGTTCAGCCACTGCGGGCTGCGACTCTTCTTGATCACCTCAGCAATGTGCGCCGCGCCCTTAGAGCCCATGCTGTTGTTGCTGCCTTACCAACTTCCGCCCATCAACCTCCACCCACCCACCTTATTCCCCCACCACCCACCTTATCCCCAAAGTCGTTCATATAGAGGTTCAGCCACTGCAAGCTCCGGCTCTTCTTGATCACCTCAGCGATGTGAGCCGCCTTTTTGGAGCCCATGATGCCGCCTTTCCCCCCACCCATACTCCCTGCTTCCTTTATCCCCCACGCCACGCCACAACACACCCACCTTGTCCCCAAAGTCGTTCATATAGAGGTTCAGCCACTGCAAGCTCCGGCTCTTCTTGATCACCTCAGCAATGTAAGCCGCCCCCTTGGAGCCCATGTTGTTGTTGCTGCCGCATTCCCCCACCCATACACCCTGTTTCCCCACACCCCATTGTCTACCAAGTCAACTCAACACCCACCCACCTTGTCTCCAAAGTCGTTCATATAGAGGTTCAGCCACTGCAGGCTGCGGCTCTTCTTGATAACCTCAGCGATATGAGCCGCCCCCTTGGAGCCCATGCTGTTGTTGCTGAGGTCGATGGTCACCAGCTTGCCCTTGTGCGCGAGAAGGCCAGACGCCAGCACTCGAGCTCCCTCATCCCCCACTCCATTCCCGTTGAAATGCAACTCCTGTGTAGAGGGAAGGGAGGAAAAGGAGGGAGAGGGGAGGAGGGGAGGCGAGTGGTGTGAGGCGCCCCCTTGGAGCCCATGCTGTTGTTGCTGAGGTCGATGGTCACGAGCTTTCCTTTGTGTGCCAGCAGCCCCAATGCCAGCCCACGCGCTCCCTCATCCCCCACCCCGTTGCCGTTTAAAAGCAACTCCTATTGTAGAGATGGTTGGGAGGAAAGGGGGAAGGGGGAGCGGGGAGTTGTTGCTGAGGTCGATGGTCACCAGCTTGCCCTTGTGCGCCAGCAGCCCCGATGCCAGCACTCGCGCTCCCTCGTCCCCCACTCCATTCCCATTGAAACGCAACTCCTGGGGGGGTGGGGGAGAGGGTGGGGTGGGGTGGGGGGTGGGAAGGGGAGGAGGGGAGGAGGGCGGGAGGAGGAGGGGAGGAGGGAGGAGGAGAAGAGGGAGGAGCGGAGCAGTGGAGTGACGAAAACAGAAGGCCCTGGAGCCCAGGGATCAAGGATCCCTGGGCTTCTGAGAAAACGCTTAGCAAAAGGATCAAGAGAACAGAAGGCCCTGGAGCCCATAGGAAAACCTTGTGCAACCAGAATCGATTTACCTCCCTCCTAGAGAACCAACCTAAGGAGGCTTAGGATCAGCAGAGTCGACTGCTCACCCTGAGTGACTTGTTGACTTTTGAGTCAACTCCAAAAGTCAACTCGATTTAAAGTTTGATATTTACCTCCCTCCTAGAGAACCAACCTAAGGATCACGACTGCTCACCCTGAGTGACTTGTTCTCCTGAAGACCCTTGGCCAAGGCTGATGCACCCAGCGTGCCTGCATAGTTTCCACTGGCGATTGGGGAGCGGTGAGAAGGAAACACGGGGTATAAAAACTCGAGACAGGGGTGAGACGAGAGGGAAAATCGAGAGCAGGCTTGATTCCCTAAGCCCCTTGGCCGATGCAGACGCACCCAGCGTGCCTGCATAGTTGCCACTTTAGGTTCGTGACCATGGGGACAAGGAGGGAAAACGAGGGAATAGAGAAGGGGAGAAATTGGAGATGCGTAATAGGGTTTTATCCTGAAGTCCCTTGGCCAAGGCCGGCGCACCCAGCGTGCCTGCATAGTTGCCAAAGTAGGGAAGCAGAGAAAAACGAGACAGACAGACACACTCACCCATACACACTAACCCGTGCACACTCACACCCACTCACACTCACCCATGCACACTCACCCACTCACACTCACAACCACTCCCACTCATCCACTCCCACTCACCCATGCACACTTACCCACGCACACTCACCCGCACACACTCACCCACGCACACTCACCCACACACACTCACCCACGCACACTCACCCACGCACACTCACCCACACACACTCACCCACGCACACTCACCCACTCACACTCACCTATTCACTCGCCCACTCACCCGCTCACTCCCCCACTCACTTGAGGTGTACTGATCGCAGAGACTTGGCACCTACGCACACTCAGCCTCACACAACAATACACTCACACGCCCCATACACTCACTTGAGGTGTAGCGAGCGCAGGGACTTGGTGCTGGTCGGTCAGAGCATCAGCGAGAGCAGCACAGCCCTGGTGTGGTGTGGTGTGGTGTGGTGTGGTGTGGTGTGGTGTGGTGTGTGGGCGAGGGAAAGCACTCACGCACTCACACACTCCCAGGCCCCACACACTCACTTGAGGTGCGGCGAACGCAGAGACTTGGTGCTGGTGAGCGCATCGGCGAGAGCAGCACAGCCCTGGCGTGGCGTGAGGGCGACACACACACCACACACAGCCCACCAGTCATACATGAAGCTCACACTCACAGGGCCCCCCCCACTCACGCACTCACACACTCCCAGGCTCCATACACTCACTTGAGGTGCAGTGAACGCAGAGACTTGGTGCTGGTGAGCGCATCGGCGAGAGCAGCACAGCCCTGGCGTGGCGTGAGGGCGACACACACACCACACACAGCCCACCAGTCATACATGAAGCTCACACTCACAGGCCCCCCCCACTCATGCACCCCACACTCACAGCCCCCTCACACTCATGCACCCCCCACTCACAGCCCCCTCACACTCACTTGAGGTGCAGCGAGCGCAGAGACTTGGTGCTGGTGAGGGCATCGGCGAGAGCAGCACAGCCCTGGCGTGGCGTGAGGGCGAGGAGGGGAAGGGAAGGTGTGAAGGAGGGAAGAGTGCAAGGCGTCAGGCAAGAGCAAAACAGGTTGAGAAAATCAAGGAATCACAGACGCGGGGTGAGAGAGAGCAACAGCGAGAGCAGCACAGCCTAGCATGGCGTGAGGGCGAGGAGGGAAAGGGAAGGTGTGAAGGAGGGAAGAGTGCAAGGCGTCAGGCAAGAGCAAAACAGGTTGAGAAAATCAAGGAATCACAGACGCGGGGTGAGAGAGAGCAACAGCGAGAGCAGCACAGCCTAGCGTGGCGTGAGGGCGAGGAGGGAAAGGGAAGGTGTGAAGGAGGGAAGAGTGCAAGGCGTCAGGCAAGAGCAAAACAGGTTGAGAAAATCAAGGAATCACAGACGCGGGGTGAGAGAGAGCATCAGCGAGCAACACAGCCCTGGCGTGGCGTGAGGGCGAGGAGGGAAAGGTGTGAGGGAGGTGAGAGGGAAAGAGAGGGACGGACGTGAAGACATCTCCCCGGATCCCCCATGCCTCCCATCCCCCTTTCTCCCAACCCCGCTACCACCACCACACCCCTCCACCCCCTCATACCTTGTACCCAATCCCGTTGTTGTTCATCTCAAGGCACACAATCGCCTCGTTCTTCTTCACCATATCTGCCAGTGCCCGCATGCCCTCTACCTCCCCCCACATCATACCTCGTACTCGTTCTTCTTCTTCACCACCTCCGCCCCCCAGCGCCCGCATGCCCTCGCTGTCCCCGATCCCGTTGCTGCTGCACCCACGGATCACATTCTCTCTATCCGTAACCTCTACCTCCCCCCACATCATACCTCGTACTCGTTCTTCTTCTTCACCACCTCCGCCAGCGCCCGCATGCCCTCGCTCGTCCCCGATCCCGTTGCTGCTCAGCTGCAGCACCCAATGCCCACGCATTACAACTCCCAAACCGCCCTGTACCCATCCCAACCCCGCCGTACCTCGTACTCAATCCCATTGTTGTTCATTTCCAAACAAACGATCGCTTCGTTCTTCTTCACCATCTCTGCTATTGCCCGCATGCCCTCGTCCCCGACCCCGTTGCTGCTCAGCTGCAGCACCCAGTGCCCACACATCACATTGTTTCTCCGACGCTTCTATCCCATCCATCCCCCATCCCACCCACCATACCTCATACTCAATGCCGTTGTTGTTCATCTCAAGGCAAACGATCGCTTCGTTCTTCTTCACCATCTCCGCTAATGCACGCATGCCCTCGTCCCCGATCCCGTTGCTGCTGCAACACCCAACATCCCACACCCCACATCATACCTCGTACTCGATGCCGTTGTTGTTCATCTCCAAGCAAACGATCGCTTCGTTCTTCTTCACCATCTCCGCTAATGCCCGCATGCCCTCATCGCCAATCCCGTTGCTGCTCAGCTGCAGCGTCTGCACGCCGCGGTTCTGCTCCATGATCCCCGCGAGAACTTTAGCGCCCTCGTCCCCGATTGTGTTCCCCGAAAGGTTGAGCGTCTTGAGATACGCGTTCGTGGCTAGAGCTTCCGTCAGGGCCTTTACGCCCTCAGGGCCGATGCCGTTGTTGGAAAAATCAACACTCTCAACACTCTGTAGGAGTGGGGGTGGGGAAAGGGGAAGGGGAAGGAAAAGGGTAGTAAGGTGGGAGAGGCGTCTGCACGCCACGGTTCTGCTCCATAATACCCGCCAGCACCTTAGCGCCCTCGTCCCCGATGGTGTTCCCCGAGAGGTTGAGCGCCTTGAGATACGCATTCGTGGCTAGAGCTTCCGTCAGGGCTTTGACTCCCTCTGGGCCAATCCCGTTGTTGGGGAAATCAACGCTTTCAACACTCTGAGAGGGTGGGGGGGGACGGGGGAGGAGAGAGGTTGAGCGTCTTGAGATACGCGTTCGTGGCTAGAGCTTCCGTCAGGGCTTTCACTCCCTCTGGACCGATGCCGTTGTTTGAAATGTCCACACTCTCAACACTCTGTTCAGGAGGGGGGAAGAGGCAGGGGGGAGGGAAGGGAAGGGTAAGGGGAAGGGTAAGGGGAAGGGGGGTAAGGGGGGTGCAGTGGGTTGAGCTGAGAAAGGGGTCTGCACGCCTTGGTTGGTTCTGCTGCATGATGCCTGTCATCACCTTGGCTCCCTCGTCCCCTATGATGTTCTCCGAGAGGGCTGAACGCCTTTAGGTACGCGTTGGTCGCTAGAGATTCTGTCAGGAACAGCGGGAAGGGGAAGGGTAAGGGGAAGGGGGGTAAGGGGGGTGCACGCCTTGGTCGGTTCTGCTGCATGATGCCTACCAACACATTGGCGCCCTCGTCCCCGATGGTGTTCCCTGAGAGGGGGAGGGGAAGGGGGAGGGCAGTGGGGTGAGTTGAGTGAGGCGTCTCCAATCGCCTCGGTTCTGCTGCATGATGCCTACCAGCACATTGGCGCCCTTGTCCCCGATGGTGTTCCCTGAGAGGGCTGAACGCCTTGGCCCCGGGTCCCCGTTCTGCTCCATAATGGCTGCCAGTTTCAACTCCCTCTTGGCTGTGTCTAGTTCAAGGTGACTTTTGAGTCGATTCAAAAGTCATGGAATTCCCCGAGAGGGCTGAACGACTTGGCCCCGCGCCCTGGTTCTGCGCCATTATGGCTGCCAGATTCATCTCCCTCTTGACTGTGTCTAGTTCTGAGGCTTTTGAGACGTCTCAAAAGGCTGAACGTGATATAGGTGAGTTTTTGAGACGTCTTAAAAAGCTGAACGTGGTCTAATTGAGTTTTTGAGACGTCTCAAAAAGCTGAACGCCTTGGCCCCGTTCAGCGCCATAAAGGCTGCCAGTTTCATCTCCCTCTTGGCTGTGTCTAGTTCTGAGGCTACAAGCTCATACTGAGGGTCATTGGTAGAAGCTCTAGCTATTAAAGATTCCAAAAAGAAGCAGGAAATGGCTTTATAACGGGGATATATATAGTTAAGATTGGCTCACATTGTTGAAGGCGAGAGATTCTGCGAGATATTTGAACCCCTCGTCGCCCAGACTCTTGCCTGCAGTGGCGGAGGGTAAGGGGGGAGGGGGAAAGGGTGGGGGGATGGGGGAGGGGAGGGCAAAAGCAAAATTATTACTTGCCAGTCGACACTCCTGCTTGGCTTCCTAACTAAACCCCTGAGCCCAGCAAACAGCCTCGTTTTCTTTGACACGAGAAATGCAGATACGACGAAATGCAGGTGCGACGAAATGCGGGGTAGCGATGAAGCAAGATCAACGGCTCTTGAACGTACCGCTGAGATCGACGGTCCTGAATGACCGAAGCTGCTGCGCTAACTCCTTAACTTTCGCCATCGACTGCTGCCGCCACTTGCGCTGCTTCTCCTTGTCGTCACCCGCACTAAACGACGAACTCTTGCTACCCGCACCCTCCTCTTCCTCGTCACTATCCCCGCTACTGCCGATCCCGCCACGCGCTAGGAACCGCGACACTCCCCAGATTCCCGCGCCGACAGCCAATAGCATCGCGCCGATGCCTATTAACTCCGTGTCGATTTCCACTCCCGCGTTAGAAGCACTCCCGCGCCGCCCTCCTGACGCGTCTTGCACGGAGGAAGAGTATTGTCGTGAGCGCCGAGCCGCGGACCGGCGGGTAGACGACGACGCGCCGCTTCCGCTTCCGCCATCGTCGCCGGACGCTCTAATGGTCACATTTGATGCGCCTCGAGACGCGGCTCGGAGGCTTGGGGATAGGACACGTGGCAGCTTAAGAGGCGACCAGAGAGGAGAAGGGGGGGCCCATGGAGAGGAGGGACAGATGGGGAGGGGAGTGTGGGGAACGGGGTGTAGGAGGCGGGAGCCGTGGTGGAGTGTGGTGGGATGCGGTGCTGCTCTGAGTGACTGCATTGCGACGAAGCCTGATCCTGGTAAACACTGGAGTAAGATTTTTTTTTAGTCGACTCAAGTAACGCAGGACTAGGTAAACGGCTTGTAGCAGCGAGTTAATCGTCAGGCAACGGTGATTTAATCAATGAGAACTCTTAATAGTGATTAACGATTTTGCTACGATCGACCTGTAGTTGACGTTCGGTGACTGGCACGATCAGTATTCTTGGCTTTCCCTACCGCGGGTATCCCCTACACGTCCGAGACCTGACCCGCCAGGCCTAGGCTAAAATAATGCGGCAGAAGCGATTACAGAAATGAGGTTCTCCAAAGAGGGATACGAAGAAAACCAGACCAGAAGGTAGGCATCGAGAGCTCCACTGACAACTAGTATCAGACTAGGAATCTAGACCAGAATCCAGGATCAGGTAACTACTTGCATGAACAAATGTCTTCAGCTCTGACCAGCATAATCGAGTGTAGGTTGAACCTCGCGTAAGAATAAAGTGCACTCTCTAGGGATGACGGCTAACCTTTTCTCCTAACGGATCATCTTTTTGTGCGCTGTTGTGCCTTGGACAGGCCTAGCTGCTGAGCTGGAAGTCCCGTACTCGCCTAGAGAATCTGGCGTGGAGCGCTGATATATTTTCGGGTTGCGCTGTCATGGATAATGCTGCTCGCTGACTGGCTGGCCAACTGGTACACGTTGTCACAATCTCCAATGTCCCACTGACAGGGCCTTTTTTCGCCTCGCGATACACAATAAGGTTCGCACATCTTGTAACGGAATGACAAATGTACAAGCGAACTAGTACACGAGCAGCAACTGCAACAGACAATAGCTCACATTACCATCTTCTCAGATCTCCATCTTGTCATCTGCACATGTGTAAATGTGACTGACAGAAAGCTCTGGCCCTCTATCAAGACAAACACCTTGGCTGAACCCTGAGTATCTACACTTCTTTCTGCATTGTCCTCACCATATGTTGTCCTTCTAATCAGAGCATGGGTCATCCCCCCCACATTGAGCTTGAACCTTGATAATCCCACATTCACCCCTCTACCCTTCACACGCTGATTAACTACAAACACACTTACTGTTCGACTTCCCTTGTTGTAAAACGCAGCTATGGTATGCCGGCATTCACGTGGCACCGCTAAAGGTCGACTCCCTGGTCTTGCAAGGTCTGTAAACTGCTTCAACATCCAAAACCGCTTGAGCTTAGTGGCTGGCTCTATCGATCCTGAATATCCAGGCGGATAAGACCAGTTCAGCCCAAACAGCGACCACGACTCATTCGGGTCAAAAACTTGCCAGTAGGCATACGCCGACGCTTCCATAATGTTCACCGATTCGATCACATTCCGCATCATGTAGAGCGAGAGATCGTAAGCGCTACCCACCTTGTTCAGCGGCCCCGATTCAGATACCCATACTTCCTTCCCTAGCGACTTCGCAAGCACCCTCATTCTCGAGTAGGCCTTCTCAACTGCAGAAACACTCCCGTTCCCCTCCCTCGTCACTGGCAGTGTATAACCGTGAACGTTTATACGATGCAGGTCATCTTTCGCGTGGAGCAATGGTAACCAGACAGCAGTGAAGCCAGGGTAACTGTCCAAACCCACCAGCTTCGTCTTGAGATTTCTCTTCCGAAGCAGTCGCACAGTTCTAGAAATTATCCGGCTCATTGCGGAAACGTTGAAGTTACACCCCTCCTGCCCCATCCCCTTTATCCAGTACCCCTCTAGCGGCTCATTAAACGGCTCCAGTGTATCAAACTCGATATTCCCTAAAGCTGGATCCGTTTTAAACCTTTCCACCACCTCCACCAAGTACCTCGCAAACCGCCCCTCGTATTTCCGCAGCAGATTCGTCTGAAACGCCTTCTTCCCGCCCGCAACGTCTTTACTCGCGGTCATCCACCAGGGCGGGCTGTTGGAAAACGCCTCGAACACGTTCACCCCGCGGGCCTTGGCTCCCAGCAGCACCTCCTGCTGCCTTGAATCCGCCGTCCAGTTGAACCCCGCTGCCTGCGCCGGCCAGTACCCCGGCATGGCTCGCCAGCGCAGCAGCGCGTCAGAGTGAAGCTGCGGGCTGTACTGCGGAAGCGAGCCGCCGCCTATATTGAATCGCACTATATTGAGGTTGAGGCCCGAGGGGAGGAACATGAGGTCCAGCAGAGGGTCCATCGCCGCCTGGGGGAACCCGCCGATGTAGTTGCCCAGCCTGGGGAGTGGGAGGGGGGAAGATTGGGGTGAGTAGGGGGAACGGGTTAAGCTGGAGGAGAACTCGCCTGGGGGAACCCGCCCATGTAGTTGCCCAGCCTGTGGAGTGGGAGGGGGGGGGGGGGGGGGGTTGAGGATTGGGGGAACGGGGGGAATCAGGCTGAAGGAATGGAGGGGAGGAAAAGGAAAAACGGTGGATAAGGGGACCCGCCGAAGTAGTTGCCCAGCCTGGAGCAGCTGTAGGGGGACGGGGCTAGGGGGAGCGTGATAGGCGAGGGGGAGAGGTTAGACCGGAGGGAAAATGATGGAGGGAAGGAAGGTGCATGAGAGTCGATCTGCATCAGCATCCATGTGCGTGATAGATCAATTCATTCCAACAAGTAATATCATCTCCATGGAATCACCAACAAGTAATATCGCGATTTTAACAATCCGAAAAACAAATTCGCATTCTCACCATGCAAGCGATGTGCCCCATCCCTTCCACCTCGTTCCTATTTGCCGTGGAGTTATCGTCACTTGGACGGGCCCCTTGCGGGCCGAACACACTCCGAACCGCTCCCATTCGGGCTGAAGCGTCGGCGCCGGTGCTCGCTTCCTTCCGCCCGCCCACGCAGGCTTTCTTGAATGCGAGTCATCATCGCACACAGGGGAATAGCGCGATATGTTTCGGCGGAGACCAGTTTCAAATTGAGAGGCAGCGGCAGGTGCTGAGGGTGACTGTATAGAGAGTGCTGCTGTGCTCGGTGCGTGTGCGTCCAACGAGGGGCGCAACCGTTGGATAAACGCTAGAGATTGTTCGAACACGGACGAGCCTTCGGAGACTGCTGCGAATGTTCTTGTTGAGAGCAGAATCAGGACGCGAAGGAGGGCCGCTTGCATGTGTGGTAGTATGCGGCGAAGCGGAGAAGGTCCTACTCCAGGATGAAAAAACGTCGAACCTTTTTTACGCGACGCTTGCGGCTGTAGTATGCGAGGTGGGATGCGGCGAGGCAGAAACGGTGCTACACTAGGATGAAGGTTATGTAATGCGAGAGGAGGCATTGTCAACGATAGTTGACAAAAAAAAAGAGCAAATTATGCTGTTGACAGAGACTGGCGGATCAGATACTATGACTTCGGGTAGCAATCGGGAGAGTATTAGACTGGGATGCACGGACAGCCCAAGTCAGACCGGGCATGGAAATAACGTAGTCCTTTTTCACAGAAATTGTCGCGAGGTGCGACAAGATCTTGGCTACGAAGAATGCCTAGGATGAAGGCCTAGGACATGGTAGGTGTGCTTGCCGTCCTGATTATTTGCAGAGCACGTGGTAGTGCATATGTCGAGAATAGGCGGAAAATCCTCGCTTCTCCTGTCAAGTGCCGTGCGATTCGCACGACATGTAATTTCTTCTTTCGTCGGTGTCGTCGTTCTGGTTCGTCAGGGTTACTGACGTCGTCAATGTCGTTCTCTTGACATGCTGATAAGGCGGCTCGAACGTGGTGCGAGGAACATGTCTTGACTTGCATTGAGCAGAAGAATGCGAAATTTCTTTCCGCGACGCGGTATAATATCAGAATACATTCCAGTATTGAAGGCATGTAGATCCTCCTATTGTCCTTCATTCATCATAGAGAGAGCAAAGCACATATAAAAGAGCTGGATTGAACTGCTCAAATTGGTACTTCTCCAACCAGATATATACTCCTTGCAAGGGTGTATTGGCTCGTTGTTCGCTCAATTTCGAAGACAATAGCACATACTAAAATAGCATAAAGTTTTCAAAATCCACTAGTTGCAGTATGGCATGTCCTGTCATACGGTAGTTTACTTCATATGGGTACGCACTCTCTTACCCCCCACCCTCCGCTCTCTCCTACCCCGCATGCTCCTTTCTCTCACAACACACCCTCCACTCTCTCACCCCACACGCTTCTTTCTCTCACAACACCCTCCACACTCTCTCACCCCATGCCCTCTCACTCTCTCCCACCCCTCCACTCTCTCACCCCACACCCTCCACTCTCTCCCACCCCACACACACCATCCACTCTCTCTCAACCCACACCCACCACTCTCACCCCACACCCTTCACTCTCTCAACCACACCCTCCTCCCTCTCTCACCCCACACCCTCCTCCCTCTCTCACACCCTCCCCTCTCTGTCTCTCTCTCTCTCTCTCTCTCTCTCTCTCTCTCTCTCTCTCTCTCTCTCTCTCTCTCTCTCTCACCCCACACCTCCACTCCCTCTTATGACGTATAAACATCACTTGTAGGGTCCCTGTACTTGGCCCACTGGCATTCTCTGCAAAGCATGTTGATGGGCTTGATGGTTATGTATCCAGTAAACATCCAGCCCATCATGACATGCCAGAATTTATTCCATGTAGGTCATCCCTACAGTATACGTTATTCAATGTCTAGCAGAGTGTATACACACCTATGACTCGTAATCACCATCTGAGGGGTCCCTGCACTTGGCCCACTGGCACTTCCTAGAGAAGCACGTCTTGGTTGGCTTGATTGTCATGTTCGCTGTAAACAGCTGACAGCTGAGACCCGAAAAGGTGTAGTACAGGCAATTCGCGTCCCCGATACAAGACGACTCGCACTTGTCCAGCTGATTCGTGAAAAAGAGATTTCCATCCATGATGACTAGTTGCTCGTTCTTGTGCGCCTCGCACTCAACTGCAATTCCTCATCACAGACGGGAAAGGCAAGGGGAAGATGGGTTGAAAAATGCAAGCGACACGAAGAAATCTAGCGTGGAGTTTCTCGAGACAGCCGGAATGAAATGGAGGAAGCAGCTAATGGGCCTACTTCAACAGAGACGAATTACTTACTTGCCGGAGGGGCAGGAGGTGGAGTCGGGGGCTTCGGTGGCTTCGGGCTCTTAGGCGACTTGGGCTTCTTAGGACTCTTGGGGCTCTTAGTCACATTTGTCTCTGCCGGCTTTGGTGGAGACTTGGGCTTGCTCGGACTCTTGCTCGGGCTCTTATCGGGGCTGTTGCTGGGGCTCTTATTGGGGCTCTTATCGGGGCTCTTATCGGGGCTTTTGCTTGGACCCTTAGTCGGGCTCTTGTTAGGGCTCTTATCGGGGCTCTTGTTGGGGCTTTTCACGGGGCTCTTGTTAGGGCTCTTATTCGGGCTCTTTTTCGTCGATCCTTCCTGGACCTCGGGCGGGTTCTTGGCCTTCGTCTGGCTTTTCGGTTGAGACGTGCCCTTGCTGCTGCTGCTGCCGCCACCGCCGCCGCCGGCCGAATTCTTACTGTTTACTTTTGACGGGCTTTTCGTTTGAGGTGTGCTCTTGCTGCCGCCGCCGCCGGCGCCCGTATTTTTACTGTTACCGCTGCTACCCTTGACCGGGCTCGGTGTCGGTTTCTTCTTCTTCTTAGGGGGGACTGGGGACGGCGACGTGGTTGCCTGGGCGGCGGTCGTCTTGGTAAGCCGACGCCTCAGGATGGCGAATTCGCGGCCGTGTAGCTGCCAGAGCGCGCCTGATGGGGGAGGCGTGGAGGAAAGGATGGATACGGGAGTGGAGATGAAAGGGAAGGGAAGGGCGATGAGGAAGGCGAATTTGCGGCAGTGTTGCTGCCAGAGCGCCCCTGACAGAGGATGAGTGGAGATAATTAATGAATAAAGGATTGGAGAAACAGAAGGGAGCCGTAGGGTTCGCTTGGCTGTGGTGGTCGTTTTCAGCTTGCGCCTCAAGGGGGCGAACTCGCCGCCTTATCGCTGCGAATTCAGCTTGCCCTACGGCCGCGATGAATCCCATTTTCCGGTTTGTGAGACGTGGCGGCCACGGTTAACACTAAAGTAGCAGCCTAGTATGTCAGTGACTTATCGCCAGAAGAAAGGAAGGCTATGGATGGCGATCAAAGACGCGTGCCTAAAAGAAAGGAAACGCTGCGAATGTCTAGACTCGTAAGGCGCACCGTCATCAGAAGAGAACGGCCGGATTGCTGTCTCCTCTAATCGTGCGGCTGGAATTGACGCAAGCAGCAGCAGAGGTACGGCCCACAGGAGCAGATGAAATTGCCCGACTGCCATTGCCATGTGGACGCCGAAAATTATTCGTCCAACCGGCTGCGATCTGCACTCCCGCGTAGTAAGAGCTTCTCGATGTGGCTCCGAGTGCTTATGCTATAGAGGAAAACGCATGACTAGCGTGTCAGGCTGATGTGGTGGAACGCGAACGTCTTCGTCAGTTGTAAAAGTGTGTGCTGAGGAGAGTACGTGAATAACGCGTGAAACGTTGAGGGGCAAGGATGGCAAACTGGGACGAGACTCCACTTCTTTCTGTGACTCAAAGAGCCTATTGAAAATCGCGATCACTGATAAATGGCTGGAACCACGAACAACTAGGTCTAACGCACATATATGGACGCTGGCTGAAAGGACGACTTAGTATGGAATGTGTTGACCATTCGACTTGCTACGCGAGCCGACAAATTTCCATACAGTTTCCTGGGGCACCATCACGAGTCGTGGCTATCGAGAGCATGTCACGATGCTGGGCAACCGACAACGTCGGCAGCCAGTGACGTCGGCTGCGATACTTGCGGAGGCACAAGCGTGGGTCCCGTAAGGCGGTTTGGGCTGTGGCTTGGACGGCGGGTGCTTTGGTGGAAAAAATGTGTGCCAGGCCAGGGTAACAAATGGCCCTTTTCTTTCGGAGGTGTTTCCGCGTCGAGGGCATTGAGGGGTTCGACAAAGAGACAGGACGGGACGGGGGAGGCAAATTGGCATTTCTTGAGTGCGTGGGTTCTGCTGGCGAAGAAATGTTGCAGTTTGGGGCCGACATTGCGAAGCGCGTATGAGCGATCCGAGGTGGGGAGAATTTGGAGGTTGGTGAGGGCCGGACGTGCCACGTCGCGCGATGCGGGAGTTCGGGCAGCCGTCGATCTGAACTGAAGTGCTTGTCGTGTGAATGGAATGGAGGCATTTATTTCGCGGGGAAAGGGAATCTCACATTTCATTTTCTGGTTTTCGAAACGGTTAATAACATTTTCTTTCTGTAGCTATCATTGATTGCTTGCCATGTATTCTCGTACGTGATATAAAAATACATCTGTTCGCCATGTACTATTGATGTAAGATAGGAATCAGCAATCAGTATCCATCGTGATAGATCAGCTGAGAGCCACAAAATAACTATCAATTCTACTGGCCTCACAACGTACCAACTGTACATTCAGCCTGACAGCAACTTGGTGATGCACTCCGAGAGAGCCCTGTGAAATCTTGCCCCATCCCCTCTCTCCTTGACAATCTCCACTATCCTGTCAACAGCTGATCGCAAGCTCAACAACGTACACCGCATAGCAGTTTTGCTCTCTCCGCTGCTGAAATTAGCCATTCCCGCTGGCACTGATCCTTCCCCGTCAGTGGAGATCCCCTGCTGCTGAGCAGCTCGCCTTTTCATCCCAACTTTTTCCAAACACATGCACAGTCCGCTACAATGCCTTATTGCCCATGTCCCAAGCACGGAGCGCGCCAATCTGCCAAATCTGTCAGCAGGAAGGGAGAGGAGTGTGGAGACGAGGGGGACGGACGGAATTGCATGCAGCAGCAGCATCTCCAGGCCTGCGAGTGTCTCACAACTTGGCCCTTCCCATGTCCTATATTTGCCAGGAGAGGCAGCAAACTTGCTGCCTGGAGCGTTTCTGTCGTTAGCTTCAGCAGACGGATTGCTCCTGGCAGCAGCAGCAGCAGCACTAGCTTGTAGCAAAAGCAATGGAAGAGACACCTCACTCTCTTCTCCTGCAAGCCCTTTTTTGGTGTGAATCCAACCAGCAGCCTCAGCAGCTGCCAACTGCCATAACCATTGCTGCTCCTGCCCGTCCCAGGACCAGCTGTCTCCAATTAACAGCATCCACAGATCTTCCTGCTGTCGCTGCTGCTCTCGCTGCTCTCGCTGCTCTTGCCGCAGCTTCTGCAGCTTCTGTTCCAGCTCTTTATCTATCTCATCCTCTTCCTCTAGCTGCTCCTCTTCCTCCCGCTTCTGCTCTTCCTCCCGCTTTTGCTCTCCCTCTCGCTTCTTCTCTTCCTCCTGCTTCTGCTCTGCCTCTCGCTTTTGCTCTTCCTCCCGCTTCTGCTCTTCCTCTCGCTTCTGCTTCTGGCTTGCTTCCCTCGCCTCCTTATCCTCCTTTTCCTGTATAGATGACCACCTTTTCCTGAACAATGAAATCTCCCCCAAGAGAATCGCAGATTGCAGAGCAGCAATGGCGGGCGGATCAGCAGCAGACAGCAGCAGGTGCAGCAGGGGAGGGTGGCCGGATGTGGCATGGGGCAGTAGGCGCAAGGCCTGGTAAGAGACACGTTGGAAGAGGAGATTTGAGCCGTCCAATAGGATCCACCGCTGCAAGTCCATGTGGACTGCTGATGCCAGCAGATGCTGATGGTTGGGATGAGTGATGTGGGGATGATGATGATGATGACGGTGGTGGTGGTGATGGTGGTGGTGGTGGTGAAGGGAGAGGGGGTGAGGTGCAGCAAGGGTATGCAACACGCCGTTGCACCTTGGTGGCACTTTGACCTCCCGCTTCTGCTCTTCCTCTCGCTTCTGCTCTCCCTCTGCTTTTTCCTCCGATGCTGCTCCTCTTCCTTCTGCTGCTCCTGGTCCTCCTGAGATGCCTGCTGCACCTGCTGACGAAGCCTGCTTGCCTGCACCAATGCCTCCTTTCTTTCCCTTGCCCACTAATCCACCCTTACGCCCATCCCCCCCATCTCCACCTCCATCTTTCTCCGTACCGCTTCCCTCACCACTTCCCTCATCTCTCCCTTCATTCCTCCCCTCATCCCTCCCCTCATCCTTCGCATCCTCTTCCTCATTGCTCCCTTCCTCACCTCGCTCCCAGCACAGCATAACCAGGCGCTCATAGAAACCAAAAACCACTTCTGCTGGCACCCCCCTACACCCCCCTCTTTGTTCCCCACCCTCGTCACTCTCCTCTCTGCCCTCCCCTCCAGTCGGGGACCCAGCCCCCTGAGTATCCTTTTTCGAACGGGCATCAACTGAAGACGCAGGCTTAGTAGCAACTTCTGTACCACTAGCTGCCCTGGCTGCTGCTGCAAGTGCATCGGCCGCACTCAGTTGCTCTTTCTCCGTTGCTGCTGCACCCACACACAGTAACCAGGCAGTAACCGGCTTGCCCATGTCATGCCACGATATAAGCAGCTCCTCTACTGGCAGCAAGAAGTTCAAGTCATACCCACCGCATTCACCCTTGTCCTTGTCAGTCGCCTCACCGTCCTGCTCGGCCTCCCCATCTTCTTTTCCTTTTCCACTCCGCTGGCCCTCCTCCCCTCCTGTAGTCTCCATCGCATTCGCCTCTTCTCTCTGCTCCCCCTGGTTCTCCTCCCCATCCTCCCCACCACCACCCTCCCTCCATTCTCTCCGCCACCACTCATTCTGCAAAACATACTCGTGCAGAACCATCAACGTTGACGTCCAGCTTGATAACGCGGCGCCTTCTAGCGGGTATGGCGTTCCAAGCTTCGCCTTCACACCAGCTGCACCAGCAGATACACCGTTCCCAGATGCACCGTCCTCGGACGCACCACTCCCAGAAGCATCCTTCCCAGTAGCAGCCTCATCCCCAGAAGCATCGTTCCCAGTGACACCGTCCCTAGAAGCACCTTCCGAGGTTCCCAAGGTGGCAGGAAGATGGGGTAGCGGCAGCAGCAGCTCGTTCAACCGACTAGGAGATAGGGAGGCTAAGGATGGAAACAGAGGGCAGCCTACTTTGGCGAGACACTGGGAAACCCTAGTGGAAATCAGCGCCCATTCCTTCCTACCTAATCTGCGCTCCCTAAACCGAGAAAATTTACCAGTGCCTAATCTGACTGCGCGTTCAGCTTCAAAAGCCTTTGGGCCTCTAGCTAAAAACATGGCTGATAGCCTAGCTACCTTTGTAGCTGCGTCTTCTCTGCTATTCAATCCCTCTGGTGATGCTTCAGGAAGGGATTCTGCACCTGATCCTGCTGCTAAGTCTGTCGATACGCCTGCTGCTGCTTTATCTACCGAAGCTGCTACGCGAGCTCTCTTCGACCTAACTCCCTTAACTCCCCGTCGGTTGCTGCTGTTGCTGTCGTTCCTGGCTGCCTCACCTGCCCCGTCGGCTGCTGCTTCTGCTGCTGTCGCCGTTGCTTCCTCCCCTTTCCTGCCATCCTCGCAAGCATCGCTCGCCGTCTCCCCCTCTGTAGTGCCTCTTTCTGTAGTCACATCCGAGTCGACGCTCCTGTCAGATCGTTCCTCATCCAACCGCGCGTCTTCCTCATCCCGTTGTTCCTCTTTCACCACAGGTCGCCCCTCCCTCGCCCTCCCTACAGTTCCCCCCGTCCCCCCTTTGCCCTCTTTTTCCATCTCCTGCCCGCCCTCCAGTTCCCCGTGCTCATTCCCTTGCGCCTTCCCCTCAGCTTCCCCCTGCGGCTTCCGCCCGCCACCTTCACTGACTGGATACTCGCCTCTTAAAGCCACCAGGAACGCCTTGAATCCGCCAATGACCTTCGCCCCGTCCCCTGCCTCCGCAGCTTCTTCCATACCCTTAACCATTCCCTCTATAGCCCTCATCTCCTCGTCCATGCCCTCTCTCTCCTCGCTATGCTCTCTTTTCCCTTCCTCCTCCACCACCTCCCCTCCCTCCACCTCCCCAGCCTCCACATCCCCTCCCTCCTCCGCTTCCTCCTCCCCTTCCTCCTTCTCCTCCCTCTTCCTCTTCCGCTCCCTTTTACCACTCCCTCCCTCCGCCGCCTCGCTCTCCCCTCCGGCGCGCTCCCCTAGTTCCATCTCTGCGCCCTCCGGAGACTTGCTACGTTTCCCCGCTCCGCCAGGGCCTTTTCCACCAGCCTGGTCTTCCCCTGCAGCGCTAGCCTCCCCCATTTCCGCATCTTCCGCCGCCCTCGCGCCAGTGATGGACCCACTTGCGTCAACCGCGCCCTTCCCGGCAACGGCTGCAGCAGCAGAACCACCCACAGGATGGCTTCCGCTAACGCCTGCGCCCACTTCCCCCACTTCCCCCAACTCCGCCACCTGCCCTTCCTTGCCTCGCTGTTCCTCCGCCGCCCTTATCCCCGCTCCGCTGCCAACAATATTCCCCATGCCGTCCCTCTCCGCTGCCAAATGCGGGGGGGAAGGGCTTGGGGACTTCACCAAAGCCCCGCTCCCCCGCGCTTGGCCCCCTCTCCCCACTGCCCCTCCCCCTCCCCCAGGTATTCCCGCCGCCGCAGCTCTTTCCGCATGGTGCGGGTCATGCAGGGGCGAGGGAGGTAAGTACCGATGGGGAGACGCGTCGAGCCGACAATGCGCAGGAAAAAGCGCCTGAAGCCGCTCACGAAGCTTCGTCGGAATGAAGCCGCTTGTGGCTAGCGGCTCGAGACTAGGCACGACTCCCTTGCCGACCAAAATGTCGATCGAGGCGGAAATTCCGCGGAGAATCACGTCTCTATGCGCCGCGTCGTAGTTATCTAGGAGAAGGAAGAGGAATTCCAGGAGGGAGTTGGTCATAATGGCGTATTTGGGAAGGGAATGGACCATGCACAGCATCGCGGGTTCGATGTTCATGATGTTGTCTGTCTTGGGCATGAAGAAGAGCCAATCGTAGAAGAGCGCCAGCTTGGCATTTGCCTCCATGTGGCAGCTTCTGCAGCATTTGAGCAGCCAACCGACAATCGCCCAGCGTGGCACCACGTCGGATTGCAGCACCTGATTGGTCGGATGCACCGAGCAGCAGACGAAACGAATCAAATCCGCCACGAGGGACTCGCTCTCCGGGGCGGCGAGAAACCGGGTGGCAAACCACGTCTGGTAGCGCCGCTGGTGGCCCATGCGCACGTGTGCGAGGAGAAAGCGAAGCTGCGACTCCATTTCGGGCGTAACTCGCGACGTGATGAAACGCGTCGGCGTCCGCACGACGTACAGCTGAGCTAAATCGGAAAACCCCGGCGCGCCCATAGTCTCCGGTCTATGCACCAAGTCCCTCCAAATCGGCTCGAATTCCGGAATCAACGCTACATCCTGCAGCAGACGCACTAAGTCGCGACCAATTACCAGGCAGTCCTGAAACCGCTCCCTAATCAGCTGCGTGCAAAACGCGACCTCCTGCTGCTTCAGCTCTACTACGGTTGGCGCCTTACTAACCGCATGGTCTGGTAGAAGCCTAAGGAACGTGTATAACGAGAGGGCGAGAAGATTCGGGAGAGTGTACAGCCACTGCGTGTTGGTACGGAGGACGTCGAGTAATTGCCGAGCTAACCACACGTTTCCCACGCTGAGATCGCCGCCGGAGACCTGACGGAAGAGGCAGAGAAAGAGCGTTTCTGCTTCCTGAACGGCTAGCTGAACCAACTGCCGGAGGATCCAAATGACCTGCGCGCGCACGTGGTCCTGGAGCTTGCTCCACTTGTCGCTCGCTAATCGCTGAAGCGTCGCTAGAAGCGACGCGTGATGATCGCGCGTCACGGAGCACAGGATTCCGAACAGTCGCACCGCCGCTGCCGGAGCCGCGTGCGACGTCGGCGAGGGCGGCGGACCGGCTTTGTGCGACGCGATGAGGATGGCGTAGAGGAGACCGTTGACCACGTCGGCATGTTGTTGCGCGCCTTCCGATACCATTTCCTGCAACTGGCTGTGCACGTCGCCTTCGCTGTCCGACGCGAGAAGCGGCTTGAGACGCGCGTGGAGAGATTGAAGGGCCAGGTCCAGCTCATCTGTCGCCTCGAAGGCCACGTGGCTCAGCAGCCGCGAATCAGCGCGTGGCACGTGGACATGAACGTGCGCATGGGAATCTCCGCGCGATCCGCCGACCGAGCCGCGGGGCTCAATGGCGACTGGTGCTCCGATCGGCATAGCGGCAGGGGCTATATTCCAAGAATTAGGGTTTGGATGTCAAATCAGTAAGTCAGTTGAGCGGTCCGTTCATCCTAGCTGCCATCCAAGATTCAAATATTCGCACGTGAGTGCTCTTGGTCGATGCGCAAACCCTAATCTGGGTCCGAAGCGCGGGAATTGGTTTTGGTCAAGCAAGGGGGCTTGAACATTGCTGGAAATTGCTCCAGCGGCTAAGTATGGAAGAAGAGGGCCTGGGTTGGCAGGAATTGAGTTGGAGGGAGGGAAGAGCCCCTGAGGAGAGGAGTGCTGCTGGGGCCAAGCCATCTGGAAAGAAGCTGATTCTGAAATGAAGAATGTGTTGAATGAAAATGAGGGAAAACCGCCTGGTATTTATAGCTGGGCTGGCTGAGCTGAGGGGGTCGAGACGCGGTTCCAGCCAAGCCTGCGTTACACGCACGGGATTCCCAGGCCAACTGGTAGATAGCTTCGGTGAAAGGTAGTTTGTAAATGGGAACTGCAGAAGCTAGGAACGGTTCCCTCAGTGCATCTTGCAGAAAAAATTCTTGAGTTATGTGACTGACTCTTCATGATTTTTGGCAGGGTGTCAGATGTCGAAATGCGCTCTTCCGGCCAGATTCGTCAGCAAATTTTCTTGCGAAATGCACGGATGGATGGCATGCCAGGTCGGCTCGCGGGTCACAAGCTGGCCTTCATCCATTCAGCTTCATTCCCGCCGCCAGGGTCCAAGTCCATCCAATCTGTTTTCGCCAAGGGCGATCGCGCTTCTTGTGTGGTCAATCTTGGGATTTGTGCATGGCCGAGTTTTTGGGTTGCGTAGCAACCCCTTTACATTTGGTAGCACTTTTTTCGGTCGACTCGAATGAACAGTGCACATTTTTGTCATATTCCCAACATCTGAAGCACTAGCTTTAACGTTTTGAGAACGTGTGCTTCAAATGTGTGGAGATGACAGCACTGCTACACAAGAGCCTCCAAAAAAAGTGAAACCAAATGAGACCAATTATTCCATAATCGTCGATAAATACGGCGAATGGAAACAATTGGCAGCAGCCTCGCCATATTTTACGGTACATCACACACAATTGACGAGACAACAAATTCGGCGTGGATGCAAATTACGGATTTGCATCTACCGTATCGAACATGTGCAAAACGACAACAATCAACAACAGCAAATGTCATAAAGTGAATGGCAAAATGCATCAGTGCTACAATAGCGATGGATCCGGTATGCTAAGGCGAGCAACGCTGCCCCAACAACGATCCCCACCTCAATTGCAGACCTGACACACTTTAACATGACACCTTACAACAAACACGAACGAGCACATGCGACATTGTACTGGTACAACGACGACAACGCATAACAATGAGTGTCTTGGGGAGAATGCTAAAATGCATCGATGATGCAACAAAGGTTGGTCTGGCACGCTAAGGCTATTGCCCCACCGGCGATCACAACCTGAGTTGCATACACGAGGCACTTCAGCACACGCCTTGAGACAGACACACACGATACAAACAACACGACTGCACATGCACACACAGGCTCACACACACACATACACACTGACACGCACGCAAACAAGCACAGATACATACGGATAGTCAACACACAACCATCATGAAATTCAGCTATTAGTAAATCATCACTAGCCAATCACCCCTTACCCTCCCTACACCCCTCCCTTCCTCCCTCCCTCCCTCCTTCCTTCCCTCCCTCCCTCCCTCCCTCCCTCCCTCCCTCCCTCCCTCCCTGCCTCCTTGCCTCCCTCCATCCCTCCCTCCGTCCCTCCCTCATCTCCCTCCCATTGCCTCCCTCATCTCCCTTCTCCGCCAAACATAATCAAAGAATGCAGCTTACGAGCCCTGCACAAAGTAAAAACAGAGAATGCAACACCCCCTGCACAAGAAAGCAAAAACAGAGGATGCAACTGATGTGAGGAGGCCAATTAGGAAACAACTCACCCACACTGCATAAGAAAGCAAAAACAAAGAGAGTACACCTCATAGGATTGCACAAGAAGACAAAAGCAGAGAATGCAGCTCACCCACTAGAGACGAAATAAGCACAATGGAAAAAGATGAGCAATCGATTTGACAGCTCACAGAGGTAAATTGGTATTAGTCGTGGCACCACAGATACTACACCAGCATGATGCCATGCCTTGAAGCCACCCTCAAGTTCAACTTCACACTCACGTTCGCACTCAATCTTGTACTCAATCCCGCACCCACTCACACACGCACAAATACTCTCAACTTTCTTAGACACACTCACGCAGAAACACACATACAAACCTACACGTTAACTCTTGCACTTACCCTCGCACTCATGATCATTCTCATTCCAATCATACGTTACACGTTACAAATACTTCCACGCGCACGCAAGGACACTCACACGCACCCTTGCACTCACACTCGCACTTGCTCTCGCATTCACCCTAAGACAGTCTCGCTCTCAGCCTTGCACTCACACGCACACCCACTCATCCTCGTACTCACCCTTGAACTACCCTCACACTCGAGCTCACACTCACCCCAAACCCTGCACCATCATATTTACACTCACATTCACTCTCGCACTTGCTCTAACTCTTGCTCTCGTTCTCACCCTCGCACTCACCTAAACACGCACCCTCGTACTTCCTCTCATATTCACCCGCATACACGCACTTGCACGCACCCTCGCACTTACCCTCAAGTACATGCGCGTACTCACACTCGCAGTCACACCCGCTTTCGCACCCGGATACCGCCCTCTCACCCTCACACTCCCGTACTCACTCTCGCAACCACTCACGGACGCACAATTACTTTCAACCGTTCTTAGACACACCCTCAGAAACACAAACACACACCCTTGCACTCACCCTCGAACTCGCGCACTCACTCGAACACTTTCACACTCACACGCACACACAGTCGCCGGCACGGTGGCACCCTTGAACTCAACTCACACCCACACCCACACACTCGCCCTCGAACTCACCCTCGCACTCACTCTTCTACTTGCCCTCACACACCATCTCACACACCCTCGCACTCACACCCGCGCTCACGCTTGCACTAAACATCGCAGCCACCATCTAACTCACCATCGCACTCACTCTTGCACTCACTCTCGCACTCACTCTTGCACTCAAACACATGTAATGTACTCTCAACTCTTCTTCGACAATCACAGAAACACACACACAAACTCTTGCACTCATCATCGTACTCACCCTAGCACACACTCAAACGGACCCTCGCACTCCCCCTTGCACTAACACACACTCACACTCGTACTCACCCTCAAACTCGCCCTGGCACTCACTCCCACAATTGCTTTCGCACTCACACTCGCGCTTACGCTCGCACCTGCTCTCTCGTTCACACTCGCACTTGCCCTTGCACTCACAACCGCACTCACCTGCAAGTGCACGTGCACATCCAAGTCTCGCCCTCACGTCGCCCGTGCCCAAGCCGCCAGCAAGTGCAAGCGCCCACGGCGCCCGCGCCCACTGCACCAGCGCCTTAGGCGCCAGCACAAACGGCGCTCGCGCCCAAGGCGCCAGAGCCCCCGGCGCAAGCGCCCACAGAGCCAGCGCCTCATGGGGCAGCACCCACGGCGCTCGCGCCCTAAGCGCAAGCACGTTAGGTGCTAGCACCCACGGAGCCCGCGCCAACGGCGCAAGCGCCCACGGCGCCAGCGCCCTAAGCGCAAGCACCTTATGCGCCAGCGCCCATGGCGCAAGAGCCTTAGGCGCAAGCGGCCAAGGCGTCTGCGCCATAAGCGCAAGCGCCTTAGGCGCCAGCAACCACGGCGCTTGCGCCCACGGCCCCAGCGCCCTAAGCGCAAGGGGCTAGGCACAAGCGCCAATAGGGCCCGCGCCGACGGCGCAAGCGCGCACGGCGCTCTCTCTCGCGCCTCTCCCTCTAGTGCTTCCTTAGCTCTCACGCGCGCACTCTCCTGCGCTCTCGCTCCCTCGCGCTCCCTCTCCCCCCTCTTCAAATAGTAGTGCAACGCA